ATCTCACGCATAGTTTCTACACATCTACAGGAGACATACAAAAGCTCTAATTCCTCAGCCTACAATGGTACCGTACAATTAGTTTTAAGATTTTCTTCTGACTTTATGAATAAATCCACACACAGCAGCAGCAGGCCACCAAGGGACAGCTGTCAGCTCACATCCAGTCCCCCGGGGTGGCCAGGCAGTGAAGGGGGGGCTCAGACCTCAGCGGGTTGGGGGTGACACACAGTGGCCCGGGGGCAGCTCGGGGGCCCTCCTCTGCACATGGCAAGCGCGGTGGCCACAGACCTGGTGGGACCTGGGCTCTGCTGTGGCTGCAGATTTACGGCATGTTCAACCTCTGGCTACTCAGCTGCCAAAGGAAACATGAGCGGCCACAGTAGTGACGTTCTTTGTAGGAGATGAATAATCACAAAAGGGCCATCTGATACCCCACACGCTAATGTGCGAGTACTGTCTTATTAAGGACAAAAGAGATCTGAGGAACAGGCAGAGACGTGAAATCTAGTACTCCTGCTTTTTGAAGTCTGTTAATAACTTTATCTTCCTTAACTCTTCAGTTTTTCTCTTCCCTGGAAAAAAAATGAGTAACTTTTAGACTCACTGGGTTTAATATACCTTGGATTTAATAGTACCAGAAGGATCTTAAAACACTGTATTAATTATGGGCCAGATGTTGCACACAGTGCCAAGGTAAATTGATAGGACTGTTCAGTATTGTAAGTGCTGTGCCACAGTTACGTGTTTGTAGTAAACTCTCAGGGGAAGCGTAACATGGCTGGCAGCTATGTACCACTGAAAGAATTTTGACCCAGGTAGACAAGGAAAATCTGTATGATATTTAAGAATTATGTTATTTCTTAAAGTCTCTTCTACATGACTTCTGGAAAGGATTTACACTTTGGTATTCAGGAGACGAACTAGGCATTTCCATTGGATTCACCTTGATCTGCTGCAATGTGCTCTGTACATTTATTGCCCTTTTTGGGTGCTGTTCAAATGCTGTGTTTGTACTTGGTTTATAAATCATACATGAGATTTTAAAATCTTTCAAAAAAATGTGGACACCCAATTTCCGTTAAAATGAATGGGAACTTTGAACCCTGTCCCTTCAGGTGTCACTAAAAGCTTCTCAAGCTGCCTTTTAAAGCCTTGGGCTATTATAACATTGTACAAAAAAATATGCATTTCAGTATGCTGAATACTTTATTTCACCTTCTCTCCTTCCAAAATGAAAAAAAGAAAAGCACTTCTCTTGATGATTCCATGGCAACATATTTGTCTTGAATTTGGATTTTTATAAATAACACAACAGCCAAATGAAAGTATTCTTCAGAGACTAGTGTCACTTTTCTTCAGAATCATCTAGCTTCTACATTCAAAAGAAATCTCCTCCTACATTTTCTATATTCCTAGCTCCGTGAAGCAAGCCACAAAACTCAAGCTTTCTCTTGGCTTCTCATTTTGTAGAAGACACCAATATAAAAATAGACATGTAATGACATTATTAGTAGCATATAATATGTATACAATGTAGTACACATACTATAATACTTACTACATATATTTTTATATCATAATCTAAGACTATTGCAAAATAGCTTTTATAATTCTCCCCCTCCCTGTGATGTAGATCCCCAACATTTTTAAAATTTGTGAGTAGCAGATTCTGAGCTATCAGCGTCCTGATTTACTAGGGATATCTGACTCCCCAAATGGCATCTGATCTGTTATACCCGATTTGTTCTAGAATATAATCATATTTAACGAATGGCTGTTTGGATTGAGTGTCTCCCAATGTTCTCCTTCATCTAAACTTTTCAACAAGAGGCGTTGTCCTGTACATAGTTTCATGTAAAAATCTTTGCAATGACCAACAGGGAACTCGAAAAGTGCTTTCCTGGAGCAGCCTGTTGGTGTAAAGGCTGTGAGCCGAAAAGGTGGTTTGCAAAGAGAGGGGAAAGAATCTCAGTATTTACTGCTCTTGTTGGGATAATAGCCTGGATGGGACCTCAGAAAACAGACCCTTGAGACCTCTTGCACAGAGACGGTACTGACGTCCCTTCGTGCTGTTCTGGTGTTGGGTTGAGTGTGGGGGTTTCTTCTGTGTGGGGTCTCTGTTCCTCCACTAATGGCAGATGCAGAACAACTTAGAACTGTCTCTGAAGTTTCTTTTTGCACTGGATGAAGAATGGAGGTGAGCCACTCTTGAAACAATTTCAGCATAACCTTCTGTACATTATTCAGGTGAAGTTTACCCTGGTGGTGTTCTCATTTGGGTGGCTATAATGTAAAACTATAAAATTATATTTGTAGAGAATCTCTCAAACAATATGCACCCCACAGCATTCTCACGAATGAGGTGAAAGAAGAGATGAGACAGAGCCTGCTACAAATGCCAACAAAAAGTAGCACAAAGCTAGGGACAATATACTCACTCCATGTGTGAAGGACATGTTACATTGGAACCTACGTGGTGGATAAAATGATACATTTAGACCTTGGCTGTGCTGGAGGCAGTTCAGTAGATCTGGCTGTTGAAATTACCAAATGTGACCAAATGGCTTTCAGCAAGCTCTGCACCTTGCTGCAGGGTCTCTTGGGAATGGTGCTGCCCATAGTTAGCCCCGTTTGCAACTCCTCCTCCTTCCCTCTTCTCCTTCCCTGCCTCCCGAAGCTTGGATCCAGAAGTCTCTGCCTCTGGCCCTGCAAACATTCTCCTTACGTATTGACCTGGTAATGGATTTAAAGACAATAACAGAGAAAAAAAGAAAGAAAAAAGAAAGAATAAGCCTAAACTGGAAAAATAAAAGCAAATTTATTTTAACTGCAATCAGAAATCCTTGAGTTATTAATCTATGTAGCCACCATCTGTGTATCTGTGTAGCCACTGTCTGGACATGCAGTGCCAGGTGCTGTTTCCTTCTTGGAAATGGTCTCTGTGCACTGTTCACAGCAATGCCATCTCCTCTCCTTTCCCATCATGTGCTTACAGCCAGAAAGAGCATAAAACATCTACCAGAGGCCTGAAAAAAAGGGAAGGTGGGTGGGTATTCGTAGAATCATAGAATCATAGGTTGGAAAAGACCTCTAAGATCATCAAATCCAACCATCCACCCAACACCACCATGCCTGCTAAACCATATCCTGAAGTGCCACTTCTACACATTTTTTGAACACCTCCACATTTTTTGAACACCTCATGTCCAAAAAATTGTGTATAGTGAGCATACAGGGGCTCTCTGTTTTGCAAGTATATATTTTTTATCCAATTACTTCTTTTTTGAATATCCCCTGTCTAACACCACTTGAGGGGATAACTTGGCCAACAGCACTGTTCTACATATTTTTATTTCCAGTGCTATCCGTGATGAGGCTTGTGCATCAGAGCCCCGATGTATCCCAGGTCCCAGCCACGGGTGTTAACTGATATGTTCTGGGCTGTGAAGTGGAGCTGAGCCATAGGGATGCAAATCTCCAGAGATGGGGAGGATGGGCCAACATGAGTTATCAGACACTGAGTTTGCCATAAGGATTTGATCTTACAGATCAATAGGAGCCTTTCTGTCAAGTTACGTTTTTCAAAATCAAAGTGTGTGGATCTAATGACGTGGCTCTTTTATAATTTTGATGTAGTGTGTGAATACAAAATATGATTTAAGAATCCACCATGTGATTCCAAAGCTGAGACCAGAAGCTTTTGTGTAGCATCCTCCTGCACAAACCCAACCCCGATTTTCCCCACTCTGGGGACAGATCCTCAGAGACATGAAAATTACTGTTTTCAGAGGCAAGGCTGGGTGAGCCTGCTGTAGGTAGTGCGATACGGAGGTGTGAACAGTGCTGAGAGAGCTTTCCAAGAAGAGAAACACAGACGACACTTGAAAATATTTTTCGGTTGCAAAGATTTGACAAAGGATTCATTGCTTTGAGCATTGTCTTGTCAGATCAGCACATTTTGACAGGGCTTTAGTAGTTGGAGTAGAACAAACTCTCTGGATTGTCTCTTCCAACTCTTCACTTTAAAGGAAGCATAAAATGCTAGAAATCAACTGCAATTGGATAGGAAACTTGTAAAGGAGAACTTCCTTGACGGAAAATAAGATTTATGGGAAGTGTGGCTATTGTGGGAGAGAAACAATAGTTAATACATTTGGGGAAAAAAAGGAAGGAACTTTTCTTATTTATCTGTCACTTAACAGCAAACAAACGTTCTGCCAAAGGAAAAAAAGTACGGCTTAAGCCAAGGATTGCCAAAGTTAGTTAAAGCTTGTCACTCTCACATGTTGCCTAGAAAATGTCATCTGTTACTATCCTAATTATTCCATGTTTGGGCTGTCTGGCATTCAGTGACAAGTCATTAGCAAGACAGAAAAGCTGCTATTGCAGTACAGTCTGAACTTTCCTGGAAAAAGCTTGCATAACAACGAATAGCACAGAAAAAGTGAGCAACGTGTTCCTATTTCCCCAGGCTCATGAGAGAGCAAAGGTACATGATATGAAGCTGAGATAACCTGAATCCATTTCAAAATCTGTTTAAAAAAAGAAGGTTAAAAATACTGTGCAACTCTTCTATAACAGTGAGGCCAGGAGCTGGTGGCAAGGATGTTGCATTATTTCTTTTAATCTCTACTAGGAGTTCAGGCAGAGACCAAAAAGAAGGTCTGGCCACAGTCCCACAATAGGATGTAAGGATGATCTCTGTTGCTAATTGAACGTGTAAAGACTCAGCTGCTGCACCTTTACTGGGGACAAACGTGTCCTATTTTCACAGTACAAATTGTATGTACCACAGACACTGCTGTCGATCTCCACAGCACCCGCTTTCCCCCATGCCCCCGCACTGTGCAGCGTTACGCTCTTTCTTTCTACACATGATGCGGCTGATCCATGTTCTTTACAAGAGTAGATGCTGTTTGGCAGCAGTTTTCCACGATGGGGAGCTGGCTTCCATCCAAAGATTTGCCAGACATGTTTCTGCTGCCCTGCCTGCTCACCTACTCTCAGCTTTTTAATATCTATAGACTGGCCGTGGAGCAGGGGTTTGAGCAGCCCCTCGTCGGACATGTGCCTCAGCTGCCTGGGAGAACACAGCTTACAGGAGTGTTACTACAGCACTCAGCTTGTGACAGGGCTGTGAATAGTGGCCTCATTGCACTGTGTGATTATTTATACCAGCAACAGCGCGAAAGTCAGTGTAGGTGGAATTAGGAAGTCACATGCCTTGATAATGATGAACTGCCCGTGTTTCACGGGAGTACGGAAGAGTGGTGATGACAGCCGGGTGGCACTTCGTTGCTCTGAAGCCAGACGCCTCCTGTGTTCCAGATACGCTGTCCTCTAACCTCCCAAGAGCCGTGCTGGGTGTTGCTGTGCTCCACGTGACTTCATCTCTTGCCGTGCCCCTCCAAGACAGCCTCCTGCTGAGCAGCAGGATTGGTCCGCAGGCTTCAGAGCTGCGTTGTCAGCACACGCGGCTGCGTCTGTCTGTTTTCTGGTGTGGTGAGACTGGAAAAGGACCTCCATTTTCTTTTTGCTGGTGGTCAGGTTGAACTGCCTGGCAGCATTGTTGAAACATTCATTAACGTGCTGCGCACCCTCTTCTGTGTGCACAGTAACTACTGGACTGTCAGTGAAGAGCAGGTTCCAGGCCATGTCTTTACGACCTTTCATTTAGCACAGAGGCTCTGGGGGCAGCAGGAGGGACGTAGCTCTCGGGATATTATTGTAATTCCACCTATTAATGGTTCTTCTGCACTGGAAGAACAGTTTTTTGGTGCTTATGTATGATTTGCAAATAATAAGCTGTCTTAGAGTGACTCAGCCGTGAACAAACATAAATATGTGAAAAGGCATTTTAAGCCATGTCTCCACAAATCTTTACATGTAATAAGCCTGAGTGGGACGTTTGATCCAGTAATCATTCTGAGACTTATTAAGGCCAGAAACATAAGCCTCAGTAAGTGCAGATTGAGATCACTCTATATTTGACTAGCTATTTTCCTGAGAAATTTCTGACCTAAGTGTGTGACAGAAGCTTTCTTTTCTAAATAACTTTATGAATGTTTGCTGGCACGACAAACCAAATGACCAAGATACAATAGCCTCTTGGTATAAATCTCTGTTAATGAGATCAGGACTAGAAACCTCATTGTTCAGCTCACATTCTGTCTGAACGCAATCTGCTTCTCAAATTATAAATCAGGGGCAAGACACTGTACCATTGTGTAACCCTACACCCCGGCTCTGGAATGTTTCCTAGTCACAAGAGGATTGTCATCATTTCATTTATGAGAGAGCTATCAACCTTTTTTGGTCACCACCCCCCCCTCAAATGAAGACAAACCCCCCCCCCCGCCGCCCTTGCAGCAGGGTATTTTGGTAGCGACAACACAGAAGCCTGCATTATAGTGTGCCACTGCCTGAGATCTGAAAATGAAAGAAAAAAGTTATTATATCTATCGCTCTCAGAAGCCGCGCTAATTACTAAGCATGAAGAATTTGTTTATATATGCCCTGTACATCTCCATCCCCCTAGAAAAGAAACACGCGTACGTGAAATAAGGTCGCTGATCGGAAGGTGGAGTTGTGTCTGCAAAGGGGCAATGTGTGTGCAAAGCCTCTGCCGTCCCACAAGACCTTACAGCACATTCTGCTTCAGAATGTAGATCCCTTCTGACCATCCAAGACAGTCACAGAGAGGGACTTCATCACAGGGTGGGGGTGGTGCAGTAATTTCAAGAGGTCTGAAGGACATAGGTGCTTTCAGGTTCTCATCCAGCTTTCTAACGATTCAAGAAAAAGGGAAAAGACTTACTATGTTTGTTACTGGCCTAGGAGCTGTCTAGGAAATCCCAAGCTCGCTCTGCGGCTCCACCAAATGTAGGCCGTTACACCACCGAATGTTCAATCTGTCTGATCAGCCTGGTCACCTTTTGTTCCTGGTAGGACACAGTCTGCAGGAAGGGTCTCCAGGAAGGGAAGGAGGTTCACCCTTAGCAAACTCTGGTGGGTCTCCCTCGTTCTGGCTGCTGGTAAGAGCAACACCGTGAAAGGTAAGTGTAAATGCCCATCCATACCCCCTTATCGCTGCTAGGTGACACCTCCCCGTGCTGTTCCCAGCTACTGGGGACATCTGTGCTGGCACTGCCACAGCAGCTGTGCAGAGCAGCGCCGTGTAGCTCTGCTCTCCAAAGGGAGACCATGGGCATGGGCTGAACAGCAAGCATAGAGACAATTGTTGCAATGTGAATAACTACGAGAAAATAACTCCAGCAGACCAAACATATGATCTCTGGAGGCCACGTTCTCCAGTGCCAAACCCTTTGCCTACAGCCAAGAACAGAGTTCAGACCTCTTTAACAGATCGTGCACTTTTTTTTTGCTTTTTATTTGATGGCCAAACTGAGAAATCAGAAGGGGAAATAATTTCCACCGGCAAGAAATTACCAAAATATTTAAATGGACCTGAAACTAAACATTTCACATTGCTTTCGAGTAATCTGATTAAGCAAAATTTAGTCTCAAACCTTAACTTGAAGTGAAAAGTCAGGCTTTTAAATATAAGCAGAAATATTTCAACTTTAGTGATTCTTTTTTTTATTTGACTAAAACTCTTTGCTGAATATGAAGTGTTTCAGGAGCATTTCCTCTTTTCAAAATAAATGTTTTTATTTATATTAGTTTGCTTAACGGCACAGTTCTTCAATGACCGTCAAATAACAGACAATGGTCCATTCTATTGGCGATTTTACCTAACTGCACAATGGCACAACCTTAAACAGATTCAGCATCTTTTAGAATCTCATCTCAGCACCAGTAGGAAAGATTAAATATGCATAGACATTCCTGAAAATTGGACAAAAGGCATAGGAAAGTGGTTTTCCTCTTCCTTCTGTTTCCTCTCCTCTCCTCTCCTCTCCTCTCCTCTCCTCTCCTCTCCTCTCCTCTCCCTTTCTTTTTTTTTTTCTTTTCTTCCCCTGCCACTCTGAAAGAGCATGAACTACTGGATACAGATTAAATAAAAATATGCAACAATTCCTTCTCAAAACAAACACAAAATTAATATATACAGCAATAGAGACTTTCTATGTAGATTTGTGCCACCCACAGCCACTTCTGTCACCTGGATCATTGCCACCATTGTTGCTGGCTTGGGATTTATATTCAATATTGAAGGAATCTTGCGGCTACGATTTGAAATACAATTCCAAAACCATTGTGGAGTCATCTCTAGTTATACGGAGTCAAATTCGCTCTGGATGAATTCTCTCTTATAAAAGCATTGGTGTTTGAGCAGGAATCATTATGAGCCAGACTATTATGAATATTATGATGAGGACAACTAAAGGATATGGCAACGCCTGTCTATTTGGTCAAGCAGATTTAAGCGTTTCAGTGTATTTGATGAGAAGTGAGTCTGATTATTCCTGCACACCAACAGCCGCGTTTTAGTTGTCACTCCTCGTATTCACTCTGCCCATATTTCGCTGATTTCTTTTCCAATGTGCATTGTAATTTCAGTTTTGTCCGTAGAATTTGACAGCATCAGTCAGGTTCTCCTCCACAGCAGGAGCTTTACCACAGCTTCTGCCACACAACTCAAGACTTCTGTACCAAATACTGGCCTGATACAGGTAAATCCATATTTCAAGGGAGTCTTTAGACTTAAATGCTCTGCGGTACCCTCAGCCTGTGGTTACGCAGAATGGCAGTGTTCACTGCTGCAATTTTACACAAATGTTGGCTGCCCCCAAACATTGCCATGAAGTAAGGATTTAATTGTGTCCCTTTTGGCTGCAAAACATAGTTTTTAAAATATTTGACACACGGAGTGCAGCTGTCAACAGTGGCTCTGCAAAGGCCTTCATCCCTTTAGAAGGCTGCTGGTCTGTAGTGACAAATAAACTGGTATCTCGGCTCTGTGTGTGTGTTGGGTGTTGCACACCTGGTAACGGACTCCGTCTGCGAGACAACAGTTCTGTTATCCTGTGACTCTGGTAGCTACAGAAAATACTTTTTCCCCATGAAAGTAAATTGGCCATGAAGAGTGGCAGGAGGAAGCAGGTCTGTGGCCTCTCCCAGTCCCACTCTTCCCTCCTGTTACCGCTGCAGTTCTTGCCACCACCAAGACCTTGTCAACCAGCATGGGCAAGGGCCCTGCCGCCTGCTGTCCCCGGCTGGCAGGAAGGTCCAGAAGCGGATGGAGAATCGGTGCCTTGTTCATCCCCTACCCATCACATCCACAGCACCCTCATGCCTGTCATCGCTGCCGCCGACAGCAGGCAGGGGCCCTTCCCACCCTGAGCAGGAGGCCGCAGGTCCATTGCCTCCCGGCTGTAGGTGCTGCGGGTGGTGGCTGCGAGCCCGCTGTCCCCTCCCAGGTGCAGAGGTCGGTAATATTCTCCCTGGCAGTGGAGGCTGCTCCACAGGAGACAGAGCACAGGGTGGACCCTGGCAAGGGTGATTTCACGTCCTGCGAACCCCTGATGGAGTGCAAAGCTTGGGTTAACCTCAGCCCCTTTCTTCTAAGCCGGGCTTCTCCTGGCCATGTCTGCGCTCGGGAGGCTGCTGTCAGTGAGACCCTCAGCTCGCGCTGCTCTACTGCCGCTCGCAACCCCTCCGGGACGTTCGCCCTGGCTGCTGCCTTGCATTGGCTGACGGGATGAAGACCAGGCTGTGTCTACACCACTAGTGTGATTTCCCCCGAGTGAAGTGGAAGGGGTTTATTGTTATGCGCCCCACCCCGCCACGGAGGGGCTGTGGAGCTGGCATCTCCTGCTGAAATCTTGCCTTCATTTGCCCTTGGAGCCTCGCTGCTTGTTTGCAGGCCTTGGATTTCTACAGTGCTCATCGCAATCAGGTTTTCCTGGGCATTGAAATAATATAAGTAAAATAATTTGCTCCAGTAATATAAGTATTATAAAAAAATTATTTCTCTTATAAATCCATGATTTATTGATGGGCCAATTTACTCCAATGTTGCAGGCCAAGTAGCAAATCAGACTAAGAGGGAAGCTGAGTGTAAAGCGGCAAATTTCCTTTCAAGAAGAGGAACATGTTTTGCTTTCTTGAAGCGTGAAAGTTTAGTCTAATCAGTGAAAAATCCATTTTGTGCTCTAGCTCTCCTGTATGACTTCAAGTGACCTGGTGGTCATGAGCCTTTTTCTTAAAGTGTGCTTTGTCACGTGGGAAAGGATATGTACTGAGGACACATGGCTATTTTTTGGGACCATTTGCATGTCGTTCTCTGTAAAAGCAGTGAGGTGCATTTGCACCTGAAACCACCTCTACAGATGCTCAATCAATTTGAAAACCAGGCACATAGGTGCAGATTCAAAAGAAGATTTGTGGGGGTTTTGTATTTAGGCTTGTATTGGAAACCATAGTTTTAACCTGGTTTTCATGTTTTCTTTCCATACTAAAGTTTTACTGTAGAAAGAATATGGACTAATTTCTTTTAAAAGCAGCAAAAACGGTAGGCAGAATCAAGACTTACTGAAAGAAATCTAAGGTACACAAATTTTAAGATATTCATGTCTCAGCCAAGCTTGTTGATTTTAATGTAATTACTTTTCTTCATACCCAAAAAATAAGATGAAGCCACTTCTTAAAAATTGTTCTAAATTTCTATGCAATGAATAGAAAAGCCTGGAAACATCAGTCTGAAGAACAACCATCAACTAACAGGAACAAAAACTTGTTGGCTTTTCACAAGTGCTCAGGATCCGGCAGCTGCCTCTGGGCCCACTCTCGCGGCGTATTCCTGGGAGTGACGCTGTTTAGACACCTAAACAAAAACTGTACTGCGGTATTGTCAAAGAGCCCGAGTGATCCAGGAAAAAAGGCTATTATCTTTGAGTTGAAACCTGTAACCCTAAATCAAATAACCCATTTGCAAATGCTTTCCTGGGAACTTAAATGCAGGCACCTGTTTTTGAAAAATCTCTCTCCCTGTAATTAAGAGCGGAAGCTGAGGTGTGGGCTTTGCTTTTGCCACCTAAACCGATTAACAGGGGAAGAAACCTGGTTAAGCTGGTGCTCTGGCTTGCTGACTAGCAGGGCTGGTTTTGATCCATGGCCTCTGGTATTTGGATTATTTGCTTTCCCTTCTTTTAATCTCTGTGGGGAAACTTTCCCTCATTATTTAAATATTAAATCCTTGCCATGCTGGAATGTCACAGTGTACTGCATACAAACAGAGATGCAAGGGCTCAGTATTTGCGGTGCAAAGCAACTCTGAGTTCCCACTCAGAAGGGCTTTGGTCATCTGCTCTGAGGATACATGCATGTCTTGCAACCTCCACTATCAATACAGGCTGGGGGATGAGGGGATTGAGAGCAGCCCTGCCGAGAAGGACTTGGGGGTGCTGGTGGATGAAAAGATCAACATGACACCACAACG